TTTTTTTAATCAGAGTTCGCTGTGGGGTGAGATAGAGACATGTGTGAGCATTAATGCAAGTCAGTCAAAATGGCTTCAAATTTAATTCACACATCTCTGGTTTTGATAACATCTGTTCTCAAAGAAGGCTTTTTGTGAATTTAGTTCTTATGTAAAGGGCAAACACAAATTGGCTTTCTAATTAGTAATGGTTATCCATAAATGGTAAGTGAACACAGAGCCAGGCTGTTTGAAAAATATAAATGTGAAGAAACGGAACAGAATGTTTTCACTTAATGAAATATGGAGGCGTACGGATGCTCAGTCTTTTTCTTTTTTAGCAAGGAAGCATAATTGTTATGTTTTATGAAAAGTCATTTTGTATATAATAACAGGAAAGAGTCACTGGTCTATTTTGTACAGTCTCAGATATAATAGATTCTACTGTAAAATGTAATATTTGCTGTACATGACAGACCATGAACTACAGAGTTTACATTTTATTTTTAGCAGCATGTTCTTTGACACCAAAGCACGTTACACTCTTGATTAGTTTACTTCATTGATAGGATCAAAAACACTGACAGGATCAAAAAAGAAAATCTTAATGTAACCCATTGTTTTGTTGAAGCCTCAAGGCTGGTATTTTGGTCATTGTCATCTTGTTTTCTTTAAGTTTGACATTACAAAACTGAGACCTGGATCTGCCAACAAGTTGTCAATCACAACATATTCATGCTCTAATAAATATCCTAAACCAAATAACACGCTGTATGAAATAACTTTAGGAGCTAGTGAATTATAGAGTAATATTTACAGGGATCAACAGTAGGATCATTTTCTTGTTTTCATGAGGTCTCACAGCAAAAACTGAAATTAGCAGGTGATCAAGCAAGTCCGTTTGCTACCTGTTGCTTTTCTGATGAATCTTAATATTTGCAGATTATTCATAGTTTCATGACAAAGTATGTCAGCATGATCAGTGAGACATTCATTTCAGGATCCTGTTTGTGGACTTCAGCTCTGCCTTCAACACCATCCACCATCTCCAAGGCAAGCTTTCCCAGATGAATGTGCCTGATCCCATCTGCTGGTGGATCACTGACTTCCTGACGGACAGGAAGCAGCATGTGAGGCTGGGAAAGAATGTCTCGGACTCCCGGACCATCAGCACCGGCTCCCCTCAGGGCTGTGTTCTTTCTCCCCTGCTCTTCTCCCTGTACACCAACTGCTGCACCTCCACCCACCAGTCTGTCAAGCTAATCAAGTTTGCAGATGACACCACCGATATTGGACTCATCTCGGACGGGGATGAGTCTGCCTACAGGAGGGAGGTTGAACGTCTGGTGTCCTGGTGCAGCCACAACAACCTGGTGCTGAATGCCCAGAAGACAGTGGATATTATTGTGGACTTCAGGAAGCACACAGCCCCACTCCCCCCCCCCCCCCCCCCCCCCCCCCCCCATCATCCTGACTGACACCCTCATCACCTCTGTGGACTCATTCCGCTTCCTGGGTACCACCTAGGGCTGGGCGATATGACCCAAAAGTCATATCTCGATATTTTTTAGCTGGATGGCAATATAAGATATATATCTCGATTTTTTTTTTTTTAAAGCCATAAGTTAAGAACAAAAAGAGAGTTCTTAGTCACACTGTGTCCCAGATGTCACACGGGCACTTTTATTTACATACAGCATAGATGTACATGAAAAAGTTACTCAAGAATAAATTATCAGCATTTATTAAATAATCATGGTCCATAAATAAAAGAAAACAATGTTGTTTTTGTGCATAACAAAAAGCTCACAATTGTGCAGTCAAAATGTAAACTAATAGACGCTGAGCATAATAACAAAGAGAGATTTCACAGCTGCACCACGTCTCTGAACAGGTGCCATTTGTGGTCCTTATAAACACACAGTACGTATCACTCCGCGAGGCTCCTCCTCGGTAGCCGTAATCCTCCGACAATCCATCAAGCGGTGCAGCTCGTAGCTTAGCAAAGTCATATTAAAACATTTTTTGACAGATTGCTGAGCGCTGTGTACCACATAAAATCGGTTCGCGGTCAGTAAGCACAACCAGAATTCATACATAAGGCGCACTGTCGATTTTTGAGAAAATGAAAGGATTTTAGGCCGTGCAGCCCCTCCGGGCTGCATGTCGTTAGCGCGGTTAGCTCGCTAACACGGTTAGCTCGCTAACACGTTGACGCCGTCCAGCCCCACGCACAGTAACTCACTAACGGAGATTTTCCGCTTTAATCTTGTCATTGCCTGCAGGTGAAGCTATGGGGGAGGCGGAGTTGTGTTCAGTGAAGGAGAGGCGAGGCCGAGTAACGTTGTGTAGAGACAAAAGTGGACGAAAGAGAGGCAAACCTGCGGCTCCACAAGTATAATTATAACGTAACATAGACTATATCGATATAAACGATATTGTCACATCTTATATCTCGTATGAAAATATATCGATATTTTTAAAAAACTCGATATATCGCCCAGCCCTAGTACCACCATCACCCAGGACCTGAAGTGGGAGCCCACCATCACCTCCGTCATTAAGAAAACCCAGCAGAGGATGTACTTCCTGAGGCAGCTGAAGAAATTCAACCTGCCAACACGGACGATGATGCAATTCTACACTGCAATCATCGAGTCCATCCTCACCTCCTCCATCACCGTGTGGTACGCTGGAGCCACTATCAGGGACAAACAGAGACTGCAGCGTATTGTGCGCTCTGCTGAGAAGGTGATTGGCTGCAGACTCCCATCTCTGCAGCACCTGTACACCTCCAGGACACTGGGGCGTGCAGCTCGGATCTCAGCTGACCCTTCTCACCCTGGACACAGTCTGTTTGACCTGCTCCCCTCAGGCAGGAGGCTCCGGTCCATTCGCACCAGAACCTCTCGCCATAAGAACAGTTTCTTCCCCTCTGCTGTTGGACACATGAACAATAACCATATGATTGTTCCCACCACTAACACATGACCCTACGCTGTGTTCACTGCAGCATTCCATGTTTGGCACTGTTCACCACCTGCACTCATGTATATATCTATCTACTTAGCACTTTTAATTCTTATTCTTATTTTTATTTTCATGTCTATTTAAGCGTTATATGACAGTATGTTTGCACTAAGTACCGCAGCAATTTCCTAATGTTGTAAACCTGCTCAACATTTGGCAATAAAACCCTTTCTGATTCTGATTCTGATTTAGTTGTTTTAAATTAACAGTGGCTCCATTTAGAATAAGCAACAAACACAGTTAGGAATTACTGAAAAATAAGCAAAGTCATTTGGATTTTCTCAATGCTTTGTCAGATAAAGCTCATTTTCACATACACTACACTTTTTTTCAGAATAACTGAAAAACTAACGTTTTGTGCATTCAAGTCCTTCCTAGGTGCCAGGAGGAAATGACATTGTTTCAGAAGGAGCTGTAAAAATCCCACTTCTATTAGATGATTGGCATCAGTTGTTTCATTCATGCCTCACAATCACCGTGCACGGCTTATTGTCTGCTGGAACTTTCACACTAACACAGGCGACTGTCAGAGTTCGCTTCACCCTGCCAGCCTCCTTCCTGGTGGCTATATTATCAGGAGTGTTTGTAAAATGGGAACCAACTGTTCTTGTGTTGGATTCAGAGAGTTCCTTCAAAACTGAACTATTTGACAGATATGGGGGTTCAGTTATTAACAAAAACATAGTGGATGAGAGGATAGCTAGATAGAAAAGACCATTCTTCCTCCTCCTCCTTCTCCTTCTTCTTCGTCTTCGTCTTCTTCTTCTTCTTCGTCTTCTTCTTCTTCTTCTTTTTTTTCTTTTCTTAGGTAATAATGATACCCTGGTCAGTTAGGTAGAAGGATTGCCAGTAACAACATGCAGCAAGCGCTTATAAGTAAAGTAAACACCTACTGATTCCTGCTGACTGTAATAGAGATCTGTGAGTCTGTGCATGTGCCTCATTTAATATAGCCGGGTTTACAGTTTGTTGAGCCCAAAGGAATATAAATCTGACACACATACGTATGAACACAGACCCTGAAATTAGAATAATAAATCCATTTATTGTACTCATAGTAACTTAAAGTTTTTGAGAAAAAAAAACAGTCAGTATTGCTGTTTCTCCTGCATAATGCATGTTCCAGCATTCATCTTATTCCAAAGTCATTGATCATTTATGTATTTTTTGGCCTCTCATCTGCATATACAATACTTTATCCTTTAAAAAAAAGAAAACAACACTGATGCTTTCCCTCTACATCTTTCATGATTGATTGCACCTTAGCTGCTGACTCACTTTAACGCTGACTGTAAAGTCTTAATTCTTTTATGGGATTTTTGTGGCGCTTGTTTGTTTTCTGTGGGGGGAGGAGGAGGGAGGGCACAGGAAAGGACTCTCCCTCCTCTGTGTGTTTCTGTTTGTTTGTGCGGGTGTGACAGCAGCAGGAGTGATGTGTAAATCGGTGATTGCGAGGCAGGATGATCTGTGACGAGATGAAACGGCGCCGTGTCGCTTTGAACATCAGTGTCAAATTCACACGCACGTATAGCGGGATCCTCATTTCAGCCTTAAATTTGGATTATATATTAAATAAAGCCTACTTCCCTCAAAATAAACTCAAAGTGAATCTGCGGCAGCCATCTGGTGGGTCCCCATATGACAAGACAGGCAATCTGTTTTTATGGGCTCAGGTCCCGGGGCAGGGGATTAAATTGCTTATTTGGATCCTGGGTTAAGAAAGTTTACCATAAGTACCTCTGAGGGTTATAGTAACAGGGGCAGAAAAAAGTTCTCTAAAGCTTTTTTAACACCTACTTTTAACTGAGAAGATCCAGGTTAGCTTGTGTATCCATCTAAGAGTTTTTATGCATGTATGGTTAAGAACAAAAAGCAACTTTGTGTGTTTGGTGAGAATATGCATGGGTTTGATGACAATTAACATCCTCTGTCGTTCATGCTCATATTTAATAGCATTATTAATCTTGTTGTCATTTCTCTTGTGTCTTCAGTTCCAGCCAGTATCTACCAAGTGTCAAATGACATTACGGTGAATGAGGGCAGTAACGTTACACTCAGTTGTTTGGCCAATGGCAGACCAGATCCTGCAATCACTTGGCGACTGCTCAACCCATCAGGTAAGAACTGTCAATCAGTACTCATTATCACATTTGAATAAAAGGTTTTTGTTTTCTTAAGCAAACCATGAATAAACATCTTTTTTCTTTTTGGGTGCAGAAGATTAATGTCTGTCAACTTTACTAAAGCTTAAATTTGGTGGCATGACTCTGTTCTGAGACCCAGAGATAGCAGAGGCGAGAATCCCATCACTGAAAATGGATATGGCTACAGATAGATAGTTGAAAGATGAATCTCGGGTCAGGCTAAAGCATTTCAAATACTATATTATATATGAGATATGAGCCAGTTGATGGAAGGGTAGGTGGAGAAGTGTATCAGCTAAGATACCAGCTAAGACTGAGATCAGCTGATCTGCGTCGCTTGTGGCTGAAACTGATTTTGCAGCCAATTAACTAACAATGTTGGATTTTTCTGGATCAATTTGTATGTTATGATTTGTTTCATAGCACACATTGGATTGGCAAATACTCAAAACAATAGGAAAGTCCAGAGTTGAGCTATTTGGCCACAATGGCAATAGGTATATATATGGAGTGGTAAAAGTGAGGAACAATGAACCAGCTGTCATGCATGGTGGTGGCAGCATCATGCTGTGGGGCTGTTTTGCTGTGAGTGGTACTGGTTACAGTACATTGCACAACATGTTTGGAATAATGACTACATTCAAGTTCTTCAACTTTACTTTAAATCAACCGCATGATGTTAGAAATAAGTTTTCCAATAGGACAGTGATCACAAACACAAATCAAAACTGCTTTTTGGAATGGATAAAGTAGGCTAACATTAAGGTAGGCTGCGTTAGAACATATTAACATTAATGCAGTCTCGAGAACCTTTCCTAGCCACTTTAACCCTCACTCATACCTTGCTTCAGGTGCCCTCAGTAGGTCACATGATAAAGTGGGGCAAGGTCTTATAATTTTTTTACCCTTAGCCCCCGGTTATGGTAATGACCAACACTTTCTTCATGCCTTGGCTGATGTGATGATGACCAGTAATGTATCCTCACCTGCCAAGGGTTAAAATCCGACCACTAGCTGTTAATACATACCAGCTAGTTTCCACCTTTTGTTTTTAGAGCTGAAGAAGCCTCATGGAGAAGAGGTGAAATGTATTCACAAACTAAAAGAAGTCCAATTGCCTTCTTTTTTCAAGCTTTTAACCCGCACATTGGGCTACCAGACTGTTTTCCCAAAGCCGCAACCATTTCAAATAAACTACCAATTCTGCCAAGAAGAGTGGTCAAATATCCAGCCAGGATTATTCAAGATGCTTATATACCTTAATAAATGCATGTAAATTTAACTTTCAGAGAATCCCTATATTAGCTTTTTGCATATAGTTGTCAAGCTGGTGTTTATGAATGCCATTAAAGTGTACAGGGGAGCTGGGTTGTGTTGCATCGCTCCATACATGTGCATCCCTCAGATATTGGCGACATTGTTGCTTTGGGATTTAATCCAATTTCAGAGAAAAGATAAATGTCTCGAACTGCTGATAAGCTTGTAGTTTGATGGATGAAGATGCTCGAGTTGACAACTTCGTGGTTTGATCGCAGCCTTGCTCTGATTTAAAGTCTTTCTATTTATGTGTCTTTATCAATTACTGCATCGGTTTGTCAGCACTCCAGACAGCTCTCATCAAATACATCCATTTCCTGCACCTGGAAGCAGAACAAATCAGAAGTTTCCTTTTCTTTTTTTTTCTCTGTTTGCATTAAAGAAGAGTGATTTTTTTTTACCCACCACCTAATTCTGCAAGTCGTATGGATTCGACTGGCTGCTTTAATGAAAACTGAAAGCACCCTCCTATTTTCTGTCTGCAAAGCTGAAGGGGATCCCACAGAGTTCAGAGTTACTGCAGGTAAAGTTCCTTTGTAAGTGTGAACAGCTTTTGTTTCAAGGAAATTGATGGAAATGTGGAAGAGGAAGGAAAAAGCAATGTTCAATCGTAGATCTCTCACTCTGCAATATACCTGATCTTCATAAGTACGCCTCTGCAAGTTGTGTATAGTTCAGTAAGGAAGGTTCACTTTTTATTATCTAATTTCTCTGTGATTTACTGAGGATACAGGATGTAGGCACCTTCGATAAGTCTTTGTTATTCACTGGAACACTGTGATAGAAGGAAAATCCTGTTGGTGTCCCGGCTGTATTACTAGTCTACACATGCACCTGTGGTTCCACACCATTTTAAACATAGGCAATTTTGATGTTATTGTTGTTTCGGTGTGGTGCCTCTTTCTTTCCAGAATTCATAAGTCTGACCCAGTTCAAGAGAATATGAGGCACTGCTGGGCAAGATAATGATGGCAGCCTGTAGTGTGACTGCTTTACGCCTTTGCCTGCTAAGGTGACAACGCCGCTTCCCACACCTAGCGATGCTCTCAATTATTTTCTAAGGCCACAGATGTTCATGAGACCCAAAATTCCAGTCCAAGTACAGGCCCAAATCTCTTACTCTGAGCCTTCACTCAGTGTTAAATATCCAGTGTAAAGAGTAAGTTTAAGTCCATAACAGTATGGCCACATTTACCGTAATGAGCATTTCTATTTAACATACTTTAAAACAACATCGTTAATCTTCACTGTAAACCACAGCAGAACATCTGTGTCAATAAGTGGAAAAACAAGACGTGTTCAATCCGAGATATATGCATGTTCAACGACAAGGTTACTACAAGCTTTTACTGCTCATTACACTTAACTGACTCTGATGATTTGTTAGGTATCGTGGTCATTCACGCCATACGTTCACCCTAACACAAATCAGTGTTATAAAGGAACAGGGGAGGAATATTCATAATGTTTTATTACTTGTCAAGTAAACTCTTAAAACGTTAAAGATAACTTTTACATTTCGTGACTCTTCTGCAACCTCGAGTGTGACTCACGGATTCTACTGCCAAAGTCTGGCTGAAGCTCATTATTGCATAACCACATGAATATTCATATTCCCACTGATGACTCTTTCTGTGTATGTTGCTGTGCATAAATGTGTGAAAATTTATTGGCATCCATACACACACATACAAACAGAAGATAAGCTCGGCACAGACACGTTCCTTAGGCTTCTGTCTTTTTAAGGCCCTTCTTTGATCGTGATCGTGCGCATTCATGTATTTCCAAAGTCTGATCACCGTCCAAACCCTAAACTTTCAAATTCGATGTATTTGGAAGAACTGCCAGGAACCCAAACTAAACATGACAGAATAAAGGAAAGATCGATGACAGACATAAATGTACATTTGACAGACTTTCTTGTCTTACCAAGTCAAAAGCCTCTCCAGAACTAAGTAACTAAGTATTTAAATTATTTACATTGATGAAACAGTCCACACTTTGTATGGCTTGGAAACACGTACAGAAAATTCCTGTACCGTGGGCTGTAATATACCAACCACCAATCGAATTAATCCATGAAGTTAGTATTTTTAAAAGCTTCCAAACAAAAAGAAATAATAATAATTGAAGTGACTGTTAACCTGCTTGTAACCTAACAATGACAATTAATACAGACAGCACAACGTTCTACTTTAAATCAAACTGACCAAACCATAAAAACCAACAAGCCAAACAGAGAGTAACAACCCAAGAAGTCAATAAAAAGCAGACAGTGAGCCAGCTCTGGAATACAGCATTGTAAAGTTTTGTCTGTAAAACTTCTTTTCTCGAGGGCTCGCAGATAAAGCCTGAAGCAATTTCATAGAAACAAATAAGTCGAGTGACAAATGATGCCTCGAATGCCTTAGCTGAGCATTTTCAACCAACTGTCCGGGTTGATATCCCAACCTAGGATTTGTTTATAGGATAGTTAATAGCAGGGTTTCTCAGGCTGTCCACACTGATTATGGCTGTCATCTGTTTCCACGGAGACATCCAGTCTGAAAGTCAGCATTTCACAGTCTTTTGTCTGTTATTGTTGGTTCTTTCACTGGTTTTCATGAAGCTAATTTGATCAGAACTGAGACATTTCATGCACGGTGGATCATTTTTTCCTTTCTGTTTATCTCTCAATTCACCTTGCATGCAATTTTTGTTTTATCGCTGAGAAAGAATGCAGGCACATTGTTGCACATCATTCTGAGGTCATATAATGTTGTGCTTGGGCAAGTCTGGCAAAGACTTTCAGACCTGCTTTGTTAAGAGTAAAGAGGACCATGCTGCAACTCGGTAAGATTTTTAGCATGATTTGAGATGATAGTGATACTACATTATGAGTATAAATGTGGAATAGAGGCATCTCATTTAAAAAAATGACAATTGATGAAATCAGCATGGCAGCGTGGTGGTTAGCACTGTTGCATCAGGTCCTGTGTTCATATCCACTGACTTGGGGGTAATCTTTCTGTGTGGTGTTTGGAAGGAAGCCAGTGTGCCTGGAGAGAACGCATGCGAGCAGAGAACATGCAAAGACGACTGCCAGTTTTAAATTAGTTGTAGGTGTGAGTGGTTGTGTGTCTCCTTGTGTTAGTCCTGGCAACCTGTAAATGGTCTACCTTGCTTTTTCCCCCCACGGCAGTGTATCCAAGCTGCTGCTGATAGGCTGCCTCAGCCGGACAAGTTAAAGAAGATGGATGCACAAAAACAGCTGAAACTAAAAGCCAGTTTTAACAGTATTTAAGTACGTTATATCTTCCTTAACGAGTGGGCCAGTCTGAATGAAACACTGCACAAATGTCATCCTACATACAGCAATTATTAACATCCATATGTTCTTTTTTTAAGATTTCTTATTCATTAAAATAATTTTTATTTTTTTATTTTGTTCATGTCATCATCCTCCTGCAAATGCGATGTTATGTTCTCTGTTTGTGTTTGTTGCCCGTGTTTAACTGTACTTTTATGTGCACACAGACTTCTGTTCCAGTGACCGCTAAATGTAAAATGAAGAATTAGAAATAAAGTCCTTAAATATCACAGACATATAAAGGTAAAGCTAAAAAAAAATGTAACGACCATCTTGACTGCATGAACCCATGTGTTAAGAAACTGCG